TTCAAAATGTACACAGGACTCCTATAACCGAAGGAACATGGTATTGCCACAAAGAGGAAGAGACACACGTAGACCAGTGCAACACAACAGAGACGAGAAATCAGTTTGTAGCTGGTTGTTTCTAATGTTTTAAAAGTTCCAAAAAGACATTTTAGGAAGAAGACATGTCATCAATAAATGTTGGGAAAACCAGATGCCAACATGCAGACAAGCAAAATCAGAACCAGGATGGGGCTACACACAGGGCTTGAGAGGCTTAGGCAAGAGGGTCACCAGTTCAAGGCAGGTCTGGGTCACTTACTGAGATACTCAGAAACAAGCAAAGATCCAATGAAATCTGACTGTATAAAAGATCCAGGGCCAAGTCAAAGATTCTTAAATGTGGCACCAGGAACTGTGAAAGTGCTGAAAGACAGAATGCTTAGAGTGACTGTGGTTTAGACAGAGATGGCTGGACAAATGTTCAGAAACAGCAGGCGAAAGCCAAAGTCAGTTGCTGGGATCGAGTTACCTTAGAAAGCTTTGCCAGCGAAATGACAGTGAAGAGATGCTAGACAGAATAGGGAGGAAATACCTGGGAACCATGCATGTGATAAGAACGAACATCTGAAATCTAGAAGAACTCTGTCCACCAGCAAGGAAATAAGTAACCCCATTGAAAGAGGCCTAAGACCCGAATAGACACTAATCACAAAATACATGCATGTGGTCAACAAGTATGTGGAAATACTAATATCACTAATTGTCAAGGAAATGTGAATGAAAGCCAAAGCAAACGCCACTCACCTATTTTAGAATGGAAGCTATCAGAAAGACAGGAACATGGCCGGTAAGGGTGTGAAGGGAGCTGTGCTCACTGTGGGAATGAAAGTTAGTATGTTCTTAGTCATTATGAAAATAGTGTGGAGGATTCTCAAAAAAAAAAAAGGGCTAAATCCAACAATCCAGGGGTGTACACTGAGACTAGATAGCAGCCCATATCCTCACAAGCACAGTTAGGATTGGTGGGCATCTGTCTCTATGGCCTTGGACATGGTAAACCTGTCTGAGGAGAGGTTCGGCTGGGCTTCAGGTAGGATTGAGCTGAGAGTCTTGGGGACCTAGTGTCCTAAGGACCCTGGCTCTGCTCTGCGTCTTTGGGTGCTGATGCTGTGATGAAAGCTGGTGGGACACCAGTGGGGCGATACCACACGTCCTCAGGAGCCAAAGCATCCAAGTTATCATGGCAGATGAGAAACAACCAGATTTCAGAGAAGCAACTTGTTGAGAGTTTGGGGCGGGAGGGGGGCGCACAGACCTATATCTCAGAGTTAATAAGCTGGTGTGCTTCCTCTTGTCTGGGAATACATATCTATTTCTTACTGTATGGAAACTGAAATTAAGATTCAAGGTCATGTCCTGATTCAAGGTTCCCCTCCCTGCTGCTGCCCACCACATGAGCCAGGCACTGACCTGGTGACATTGTATACCTGGCTGTGGAAGGGACATGGCTTCACCAAGTTTGAGTTCTCACTTTTTAGATCTTACAGTCACACACAGTAGGGTTAAGGTGATTGGTTTCCTGGCCACAGCAGTGAAGTGACTCCTGCACAGAGCTGCGCCTTCTGTTACTGAGTTAACAGAGTGTGTATTATTTTGTTCCAGCTGAACAGAAACCACACAGTGATTTTTAAACAGGTGATGTGACTAGGAAGATTGGCTAAACCATGGTGACTGGGAGAGCTGCTCTGAGACATTAGAACTCAGCAGGGTCCCTAGGAAAGCGCCTGGAAAGGAAGGTGGGGTGTGCTAAGATGGCTGCTCACCAAGAGGTATCAGGCATGGCTCCTGGTGCCGCAACACAGCATTACACTGATGGCATTAATCTGATGGCATTATGGGGTGTATGGATCTGCTGGTAGAGCAAGGACATCTGGGGGGACAAGAGGCCCGAAATGACAGTGCGAGGCGGTTAGTACATCAATAGAGTACAGCAGCAGCACCCAGAGCCTCTGCTTTGTGAGGTTCTTTCCAGCCCCCAGCCCAGGCAGCCCAGCCCAGCTTGCCATTCAAGCTGTGTTTCTTGCCAGACATTGTGTGTCAAAAAACTGACCAACACAAGTTGTTTCCAGACTTGGGTTGTGGATGAACAGTTTTGATGAATGTTAATTTTGAAATTTTCTTCTACAACTAAGTTAATTTTGAGTATTACTTCTGCAACCTTCTTTTGCAAGGTGAGTGCCTGGAAGTGGGGTATCATTCACATGACACAGCACATTCCTGCAGAGGGCCTGTGTTGCTTCACATCCCCACCAATATGTGAGATCCTCTGGGTTCTGCAGGTCCTCCCAGTCCCTGATAAAGTCTGGAATTTGCCCCTGACTGTTCCTCCAGACGCTGGTAGCTTCTAGCACTTGTGTAGCCGTCTGTAGTCCCAGCACAGACTTAGCTCTAGTGGCTAAGGTGTCATCCGCCTTCACAGGTACCCACTTGTCTGCCCTATTCTCTCAAGTGTCAGTTCTGTACTTCAGATCATCTCCTAGTGTTATTTTTCTCAATGTTAGGGTTGCATTTTTGTTGTTACCTCATTTTACCTGGTTTGTCACCAGCATTTGAAAACCAGACCTGGGGAAAGAACTAGGTTTGGGCACAGGTGTGGTCTTACTTACTCTAGTAGATGTTTAGCCTGTCCCAATCATTACAGATCAGAACAGGATATTTGCAGTACTGTTTTAAGAGTTATGTCTGGGATACGTGATTTGCCAATTCTCCCATTTTGTGATATGTCTTGTAATTCTCCTGTGTTGTATGGATCCAAGTTTTAAATTTTGATCAAGCCTACTTTGCTTTTTTTTCTTTCATGGCTTAAGCTTTCAGGTGTCATGTCTGTGTGCTAAAGGAGTCTTCCTTAGGTTTTCTTCTGAAAGCCTGATTCAGTGTTGTCTGTGAGGTGAGTTCTTGCCTACTATGTGAAGAGGTTATTTTTTGCATATAGGTATCCAGCTGCTGAACTGTAATCTATTGAAAAGACCACTTTCCTCATTAACTTGCCTTTGCAAGCTTGATGAATGTCAGTTACACATACTTGAGTGAATGTGTGGACTGTGCCAGCACCACATCTTTGTTCCTTTGGCATGATAGTAAGTCCTAAAACTGCAGTGTGGTTCTAGCAGCTTAACTCTTTATTTTCAAAGTTACTTTAGCTACAAATGTCAATTTTTAAATTTAAGTTTTGCACTGCTGGGTATCAAATCTAGACCTGTACCTACTCAGCAAGTGTTCTATCACTGAGCTATCCCTCCCTACAATCCTGCACATACCAATGTTTTATTTGTGTGGAAGGGGGTGCACACATGCCATGGCATGCATGTGGAGATCGGAAGAAAACCTCAGGTGTTAATCCTCATCTTCCATCTCACAGGGTCTCTTCTTGTTCACTACCATTTACACCAAGACAGCTGGCCCTCAAGCCTCTGTCTCCACCTCTCATCTTGCAGCATGCTTTGATAACAGACACACATGACCACATCTGGCTTTTACATGGGTTCTGGAGATCCAGACCCCAGTCCTCACATTTGCATGGCAAGGGCTTCTCCACTGAGCCATTTTCCCAGCCCCTCAGTCTTAGAACTAGCTTGTCTATATCTGCAGAAAGTCATTTTGGGTTCTTAATTGGAGTCATATGGCACCTGCAAATCAACTTGGGGAGAATTAACAATTACTAAGTTCCAATCCATGAACATGGTTTGTCCTTCCATTTATGTAGATATGACCTACCTTTGTGCGTGCCATTTTCAGCAAACAGGTGCTGTACATGATCTGTTAGACATACTCCAGTGGTTCTTATCTTTCCTCTTCTTTCTATCTTCTATTTCAGATAACTCAGGGCTGCAAGTGATGGTCTCTAGTTATGGAAATACAGCTAACTTTGGGTAGGCATACTCACATCCTCTAATACCCAGGCTGAATTCACCCACTAGTTCAAGATCATTGCTTGATTTGGTTTTGTAATATGATGGGAATTTTCACATATGCCATCATGTCTTTTGCAAATAGGAGCCCTTTTATTTCTCCTTTTCAAAATTTTATTCATTTATTTTTCTTGCTCTACTTCTCTAATTAGGATTTGCATTATTGTGTCTCATAGAAGCAGGAAAAGTGGGCATCTTTGTGTGTGTGTGTGTGTGTGTGTGTGTGTGTGTGTGGTGTCTGAGTGCCCGGGTATGTGACACAGCATACATGTAGAGGTCAGAGGACAGCTTGTAAGCATTGGTTATCTCCTTTAATGTGGGTTCCCGGGATCAAACTCAAGTCATCAGGTTTGGCAGCAGGCTCCTTCATCCACCAGTTTGCAGCCAGGCTGGACACATCATGAGTTCTAGGCCAGCCTGTACTACCGAACAAGACCCTGTCTCAAGAAATAAAAAGATGGAAGGCTCATACTCTGATAACAATGAGTATAGATTAGTGGACACATTAGGCAGCGACTTCAAGCATTACATCCTAGGTGTAACTGTATGTGCTGATCTGACATGGCCAGTTTACACAGTGTGACCACAAACAGGCTCCATGGTAAAGACACATAGGGTCCATGACAGTGCCAGAGTGGCCAGACATTCTATTTAGCATCTAGGAATTCCATTTGTTGGTTACTCTGAACAAAAGCTGTTGCTGCCCAAAGGCTGTGCTGGGGGGCTGCTTGGTAGTGCTGGCAGATGTTTCACAACTTCTGAGAAATGCACAGAAATGGGATTCAGGAACTGTTTTTGAGAGTGGGCAAACACTGACCTCCATCTCGGGGGCTGGGCCAAGGTCAGAGGAGGAGCCCTAGGCTTGGGCATGTTTGAGGTCTACCCACTGACAGCTGTGATTTTGAAAGATTTCCAGCTGTCTAATTTCAAAAACCATCTGGTCTCTGGTGTAGGTGGAACCCACTCGCCTGGGTCTTAGTGGGGTAGAGGAGCAGTGGGGACCCCAGTGTTGCCCTGCTCTGACCTGTAGGTCTCTTCTACCTTCTGCAGGTGACCCCAGGGTTCGAGGAAAAGGAAGGAGAGCTGCTAGTTAGGGGACCCTCTGTGTTTCGAGAATACTGGGATAAGCCAGAAGAAACTAAAACTGCTTTCACTTTGGATGGCTGGTTCAAAACAGGTAGGACCAGACTCTGAAGTGGCAGAGGGGACTGCGGTTGAGGAAGGTCCGCTCTATATTGGTGTCTCTTAGCCTGTGTATTCTAGAACCTCCCACTGAAGGCAGAGGCTGTTTTGACATCCTTTTGGGTGCCCCAGCCTCCTACCAGTTAATTAGAAAGAGAGTCTGAAGGTCCACTGCCCTTACAAGGATTCTGGAGACCTTGTGCCCAAGACATGGCTCCTACACCATACCTCTGCCAGCTGGCCACATTGCCACAGCCTTGCCGATACCACACAATTCTGGTCCTACTCTCCCTGAGGTCAGGACCTCCTCTTCCTCTTGGGTACCACCACTCCTGTCCATCCACACAGCCACACTCCTGCTGAAAGTCTCCCTTCCCCACCTTGGGGTCAGAGTAGTTTGACTTACCATGATTTGGTTTGGTTTGGTTAAGTTATTGATTTGCATATTCCAATTTGGTCTCCTCTGTGTGACCTGTGGGGCTCGTGGGTGAGCACCGTGGACCCAAGCAGGCTGGGAGACACACAGCAGATACTGTAACTTCCCACCTGTGTGTCAGTTCTCCTGAGAACCCTCCTCACCTTGTGAGAATCCCATGTCCTGAAGACAGTATGGCTGTACTGGAGTTGCTGGCTGTACAGCTGTGTCCATCTGCTAGTATGTTTTTTACCTGGAAGTTCATCACTAACACTTGACCACGTCAGGGTGTCAGGGCTCTGGTAGTTTTTCCTTTTTGCCCTTCTGTATGTCTTAATGTTTTTGTGTGCAAGCTAACTTTTCTAAGTTCTTAAGGTAATGCTTGCCAAAAGGAAAGGACTGTTTCCCATGTGACATCCTAGCCATTGTGACAGAGGTGGTTTCACCCGTGCTCTTTTAGGAAGCACAGCCTTTTGGAGCCATGTGCCCTGAGTGTGGGTACTGTGGCTCATCTGAGAGAGGGAGTTTTGTGGGTAAGGAGGCAATCTATAAGTTTGCCAAATGTGACAGTCAGCCTAGTGGCCCTGAAAGCATGTATTGTCCCAGCAAAAAAATTAGCCAGTATACTCTAGATAGGTGGGGCCATCAATCCAACACCTCCAATGAGTGGCCAAGCTCCACAAGTGGAGACCCACAAACTGCTGGACCTGCCCACCACCATTCCAGGTGTCACCAGCTCAGGGCTGAGGAGCCTGACATGATTATATGGGTAGATCAGTGATGGAAAGTGGTACACATATAACACACAGCTCCCCAGTGCTCCTCTGTAAACATCTTGGTTAATGCCAGCTATCTGGAGAAAACAAACCTCCCGTGATTATCCCTCCAATGCAGTATTTAGGAAACCCTGCTTTTGAGTGAATCTTGCTTTTAGCGGGCCCCTCCAACAGCCTTCTGAATAATCCCTGTGGGAATCCCAACTTGCTTTGTGGTCACCTTCTTATGTTTAGGTTTGGATTTAAAAGCTGCGTTCTTCCCTTTAAAAACATGAGGAGCAAGTCCTATAGGTTTTACTGATGTCGGGACTCATGGAGCCCTGGGGTGCAGCAGGAGCCACGTGGGCAGTGAGCACTCCGGGTGGGCCTTTCTGCTGAAAAGGAATAGCATGCATTAATTATTGTAAAGAGATGTCTTCAGGAGAAAACGATTTTGAAATTCAGTTTAATTTCATTGTAACGTGCTGCAAACAGGAAGGGAGTGTGTGTGTTTAATTGGCTCTCGGGGGTAAGGCCGGGAGCTGGCAAGCCTTTGTCACAGGCCATTAGCGATACAGACTGCATAATGAGAGCATGCAATCAGCTCGCAGCTGCCGCTCCTACGGGGAGAGCATGATATTAAGTAGAAATCAGGATAAATTAAACTTAACCCTTTCCCTAGCTGTCCCTCCTGCCACTCCGATTTTGGCACAAGCTGGAGGAAGCTGTCCTGGGCTCTTGGGAAGGGCCTCATCCACAGCCTCTCCCAGGTCATCCTTTGGGTCAAAATGAGAGGTGGGGTCACCCACCTGACCCCTAATGCTCCCACCTTCTCCACCCTACTTTCTGCAATTATTCTCATCCCAGAGAATGTACAGAGGAACTCACAAGGTTGGTGGCTACTCAGGAAGGAGCAGAGACCTCCCTCACTGCCAAAATTGGTCCTCCTACCTCTGTGACTTCCAGTAAAACTGTTTGGAACATATGGCCTATCTCCTACCCTAGTGATTCTGGAGCGGGGGACCCAGGCAGGCAGTAACAGGTGAGCCTAGAGTCTGGAGTTAGACTGTTGGTGGTGGGTGACAGGAGGAAATAGCAACTCTTCTGGTGTTGGTTGAGGAACACCAAGGCTAAGAAGCAAGGTCAGATCCTACAGCAGAGTGGGTACAATCTTAGGATCTATGAATCAATGTCATTAATATGCACAGGTAACATGTACAGTTACTAATAAACCAGCAAGGGAGGGTACACCAGCTGTGGGGCACCTTAGAGAACAGTTTCCTGATCTGAGGAAAGTCACCAGGAGAAAGAGATAAATACATTTGCTCTTCCAAAAAGGGCCTCCCGTGTACAGACGTCCCACCTTCAGATTTTCGGATTTTGTACCCTGTTTCCATGTGTGTTGAGCTGTTGGGGCTCTGCTGTTGTCTGTTGTATGTGGCTAGTTTGGGGGTCTTGCCCTTCCATGTTGATCTATACTAGACCATCATGTGTTTTCGGAGGGCCGAGCTGCAAAATGTCTTGAATACATGATTTAGATGGTTTTCAGATGTAACCTGTTGGCCTTTACTCATGCCCTCCATAGGAATGGTGGCGCTGTGAGTCAGGGTCTGTGAATCCCCTGTTCGATGGGCAGAGGCTGGTTGTTTGCCTGCAGGATTGCCATCGTGCACCATAGTAACTGCACATGGTGGGCAGTCCATGCTAGTGTGCCCATCAGGAGAGCAAGGCACCAGCAGGGATGCCATGTGTTAACAAAGCCCCAGAGGCACTGGGTGTCTTGGGGGTTGGAATACTCCAAACAGGCTGTGCTACCCCTATCATGGATTTCCCTGGGGACCTGGGACACGTAGAAGCCAGAGCTTAGCGTAGAAGAGACCACCCCCGATGATGACACTGTCCACTACTCACCACATACCCAATGTTGGCTAAGACAGCCAGGCAAGGAAGTGACTACCCCCATCTGCGCTGCCATCTGGGCAGAAAGCCCCATTTCTTCCTCTGTTCTCCATGTGCCAAGTCCTCTATGAGGCTCTGTGCATGTTTGGTTAAGGTTAGTACCGCATGCTCCTGTGAAGTCTCCTTAGCTCTGCTGAGTGACTTCTCCAGGGCAACCTCTAGAGGTTATCATCAATGGATTGGAGCACTTTAAGTTTTTTAATCAATTGTTGATTGATCAAGCCCTTATAGTCTTCCCATAGACTCTTAAACTGCTCAGTGCCACCACAGTCAATGAAGGTGTATATGGGTCTTCATTTCTGACGGTTGAGCTTCCTGCTCTTGCCTTGCTGTCTGACTGTCACCTGGGAGGATGAAAAAATACCAATACCTTCCTGGTTGGTGGAAACAAGAAAAACAGGGTCATCTGGCACTGTATGTGCTTTGTTCCTAATGGCAAGTCCCTGGCCACAGGTGCAGTATGTGGACCAAACAGGCCAGGGGCCACAGGAAGGTGACCTCATCAACCTGGTGCCAGAATGGTATAGTACTGACAGAACCCATCCCTGGTTTGTTCCCATTTAATGAGCTGAGAACTCTAGGTAGAAGTTACAAGCTTTTTAAAATCTGAGTTATGTGTGCATCTGTGGATTAGACTCTCCCAGTCCTGCCTGCCCAACTATAGCCCAGAAGACTCAAGACTCCAGGATATTTTTTGTTATTGTGGAAACAAAAACCACTTGCCCTTCCCATCCTCTCCCCCAAGCCTTGCTGGTGGATTCTGGGATGCTGACCCCCATTCCCAGATGATAAGCTGGTATTGCCACTTGGTAACTTACACTCTGCCATCCTCTTCTGGACCCTACTCCCAAAGATGGTGCCCACAGCCTGTGTAGTCCACATGCAGTGTTTGCCCTGGTAAGCTCAGGCCAGTGGGTGCTGCCTGCTTGTGCTGGAGAGGGCAGGATCCATAGGTGTCAGATAATACAGTTCCTTCTTGAGACCCTTCTCTTTTGCCCAAGATAAGTATATACTTTTGCAAGTTTTTTTCTTTGCCGCATGGCACTCCTGCCAGGCTCTATAGTTCTTGATTTTTGGCATTCAACTTCTCAACTATAATTTCTTCTGCTTTCTCCCTATGTTAAGATTTATGCCTTTAAAATCAAACAAACTATTGTTGATTTTGTCTGAGCATTTCCTAGCTGTGTCTGCTCTGCCACTGTCCCAGCAGGTTTTGCTGAAGTTTAGGATCCTGGGGAGTTATTGCATCCATTTTGCTTTTATTTCTTGTTCCTTCTAATAATATCTCCCAGGCTCGGGTCTCAGAGGGTTTCTGCTTTGGTGCCAGTGACAGCTGGCTCCCCTCTGCCATAGACATAACCTCTGCCAAGGTCATGATCTCTCCCTTTCCCTGCCTCAGCCACCTCCTCTGTGAGAAAAGAGAGGCCCAGGTGGGATTGAAGCTTCTGGGACACAGAACTGTGGCAGATGTGACAGAGAAGCTATAGGACAGGTAGTCCTGGGTCCCCAAAGCTTTGAGAACCAGAAGCCCAAGTGTGGGATGCCACTCTGCAGCTGTCTGAGGATGCCTGGCATCATGCCAGACGAGCAGCCCTCAGTCCCCACGGGGTGGATGCCGTGCTATTGTTTGTAGGGTCCCTAGCCAGGAGAGTGAACTGACCACAAGAAGTGCTTCCCTGGCAAGGCCCCTCAGGGAAGGCACTGCCTCACTACTCCATCCTTGCATCCAGAAACTGAAATCCGAGTATCACAGATTTATTTTCAATTACAGTTGAAGGCAAAGACATGAACTAGCACTGGGTTTGAAAGCAGTGCATAAATCCATGTAATAAGATTTTATTGATTGCATGCTGTTTCTGTCGGAAC